AAATATGTGCAGAGAGAGAAAATAAACTAGAAATATAGAAATGAAACATGTGCAGGTAAATTAAGGTAAATTAAGAATCAGACTGTTAATATCCTCTGTTATGGACAAGGATGCTGAGAGCTATGCAGCTTAATAATAGTCTGGCTGTTCTCAGCAGTGCAGGAAAATGCTAAAATGAGGGAAAGCAGGGATGTTGTTGTAAGACTGACAGGCAGCACTGAACCTGGTTTGCTAGTTAGAAATATCAGCAGGAACAAAGTGCATGAAAAAGTGCAGTAGATGTTGTCGAGAGCCGTAGTTGAGTATGACAGATTTTGGGAACAGCAGTCATTAACAGGAGGAGAAGGTTTCATATTTAGTGGGATCACACTTCTTATGCTCTCTGGGTAATGCATAAGGTTCTGGGAGGGAGTCACTAAATAATGCTTATGCCTTAAATTCAACAAAATAAAATGCAGATTGCTTTCTGGACACAATAAAGAGCCGTTCCTGACACGGCTTCGTTTGCAGTATTGGCATTAAGAATATTTGTTTAGGCTGGAAAAAGGATGTGAAATGGATGTGTGACAGATGATGTTTAGAGACGTTGTTTGGTGGCAGTAGAAAGGCCTCTCAGGTGTTTGTAAGTGATTGAATGAACAGCAGGCCTGAGTGGAGGGTATCAGTTTCCTGTAGTTCCTTTGTAATGAGTGAAGATAAAATGAATTGCGACTGACTGATCAGATCCGCTGGCTGCAATAACAGAGAAATAATAAATGACAGGTTCTGTTAGTGACATAAATTACTTACAGCTATTTTAATCCACACCTGTCCTCACAAGATTAAGGCAGTGAAGGATCACAGATTTAAGTGGGCAAAACAACAATCCCTTGCAATGTTGCCATCTAGTGGCCAGTGTCAGAAGAACAGCATCTCTAAATGTATCAGAGGAATACTTGGATCTGTGAGATTCTGAAAATAATTCCATTACTAACATCTTACTTAAGAAAAAAAATGAAATGGAAACAGCAGTTATACATTTTTATATCATCTTGGTTGTTCACAGCTAAACACCAAATGAAAGCCTGAAACCTGCTCTCTTCTTATTTTAACTGTATATGAAGGGGTAGTTTAAATTTATATGAAACAACAACAGGATTATCATAATATCATATTTATCATCATATCATATTTTTGTCATCATGACATAGGACTGAAGGGAGGACGGAGGATGGAGGCCCACAAATGGCCCCTGGGCCGTGGTTTGAGTTCCCTGTTATAGAGGAAAAGGACCAGTGGGGCTGCTCTGCTTTCCCTGTTGCCATTGTAATCCAAAACCACAATATGAGCAAAGACGTGCATTGATAGATGAATAAGAGATTGTGTATCTGTGGTCAGAGAGAGGTTTGGTTTATGTTTATGCTGATTTATTACTGTGTTGCACTTAAAGTTGAATGAAGTCGAGGTCTGTAGGACGCATCAAGTGGTGGGTTCACTTAAGTTCAACTGCAGTAAACTCTGCATAGATAACAACATTAGTTGAAGATAATCCAACCCCAAAGACAGCCATTAAAAAGTCTCACTTTTAAATTATGTCAGTTATTTCAAGTAATGTGTTTAGATGTGTACGTGTGTGTGTTGCCTATAAGAATTCTTAAGCACAAAACTTTACTATTACAGGCCTAAAGTTAGTAATGCATACTAAGGAAAGATAATGGCTGACCTGAACTTTAGTCTTGTGGCTGTTCATCTAGCATGTAAGCATGAGAATGAGAAAACAATATCAATATGCAGCCATATAGTCCAGTATCATCAAACTGTGGAAATGTGCAACTTAATTCTACAGTGGTGGCAGATTATTTCTCTTAATGTCTCTTTAAATCAATGTTTATTCTGAAATGATGCTCACTTGTATTTATCCTATTTAAAATCACTCACAGTCTATCATTCACTTATTTTGACGTCAATGCTCCTGTCAAACATACTGGCT